ATAATAATAATAATAATAATAATGCCGATCCGGTGGCCGAGATCGGTAAGGCAGTAGTGCCGTAGCGATCTCGGACGGAAGGATCGCCGGTTCGAGTCCCGCCTCGGGCATGGTTGTGTATTTGTCATTGTCCCTTCACCTATAATCATCCTTTCATCGCATAATTCACACTTCAAGGCGTAACAACCTTGTTGTAATCCAAGGATACAGCTGAAAAAGCTGATCCTGGAAGAATTACACACGTTAATCGTGTAGCGTGGTCAGTAATAGCTTATACGCCAATAATAATAATAATAACTTTTTAATAATAGTAAATGATAATTATAACAATAATTAAAGTCTTAATATTACACGGGTCAGCACTACATCGCAAGGTGAAACACTCCACAGCACTTCACTGACCAGTCTGCTTTTCTACTGTCTCGCCTATTGCGTGAATAAAGAGAAAGTTTTGTAATTCTGCATCGGAAATTTTTATTTTTCATCAGAAAAACCCATATTGTGGGTTCTTGGTAACGAAGCTACAACAGCGATTAATTTGAGCTTGAAATTAAGACAATTTTCATTTTATTTCTCAAAAACTACTCCAAAGTTTTTCCTTAATTTTGTATAGAATAAGGCAGAATAAGCTAATAATATGGGACGGTCTTATGAATTCTCGAAAATTTTAAGTTTCGAGTGATGCCAGAAAGTAGGTGCTGTGGTAGTACCACTTGTTTCTTCTAACGTACATGCTATTCATTTTAAACGTAAAATGTACGTAAATATTAGTAGTCTCATAATCAATGCTGTAATATGAATGCTCAACAGTGATCGTTTGAAGTTTTAAGGCAAGACTGCAGAATGAACACCTGCTCCCGCGGACATTCTGCACTTAAGAGCCAGCCGCCTGCCCGCGAGAGCGGAGTGAGTGCAAGTAGTAGGATGTAGTCGTGTTTGCGGGGAGCGGAGAAAAGGAGTGGGGCGACGCGGCGCGTAGATTGAATTTCTGGGAATCTAATGTAGTGATTCATGTAGTGAAATTATTTTTCCACTTATTTAAATGAGCAATCTGCCGTATTTCTAGCTTCAAGGACAATATTTCACTGTTCGTGTTCTTCTGTGCACTGCTATATATCGACATGCTTTTATTTTTCTCGTTTATGTTATTGTAACGCATAAACAACATGTTACGCGCGAGGCTCCCGAGATCAGTCAAAGTGGAAATGCAGGCCTGTTTAAAGTATTGAACATTTGTTCTAAATATTACATCACATCTAAGTATTTGACAGAATTAGTGGGATAAAACTTTTTCAATGGCCTAGACTATCAACTTAAGGGACGATTATCCGTACGTGGGTGCTTTAAGAGGCGATAACATATAAAAGTCTCCTATTCAATATATTTCGCCCATGGACCAAAGAATTGCCATTCATCACTTACTTGCAGTCGCTGCGTCAGGCTGCACCAGCACACATTCAAACGGCCGGCACGCGGGGAGCTCTTAAGAAGCAATGAAAATGACCTCTCCGCATTTACCTCTCGCTGTCTCTGGCGAACGCGATTCTCGCGTGATGCCCACGCGCCCCACGTGCCGCGGGCGCCAGCGGCCTGCGTTGATCGCTGGCTCAGATACTCGCGCGACCTGTCTGCGTGCTGCTTGTATCTCAGCGCGTGCGGTCTGCTCGATTGATGATTCCATTCTATCCCTTCAGTGCTCGGCATGTTCAGTAGGCTTCACTTACGAGGACAGTACAAAATAGTAATTAACACGCAGGTATGGCGCATTGTATGGGTCGTATTAATTGTCCTTTTCTATTGTGTCCAGGAAGATGGGAAACAGACCGCTCGTCTTCAGACTGCGCGAGTCACTAGCTGGATAGCAATGTCGGGTTCGGTCGCTGTCTGGAGGACAATTCTAGAGGCCGGTTACTCTGATCAGTACCGCTTTCCGTGAATTTTCTTATCAACACCACCTTCACTTCCTTGCCCTATCCTCCCACTTACTTATACACTTTTACACTAACATGAACCTCACTGGTACACATGCCCGGAGTTTAGACTTTGTCCCGGCTGGGGCGGTGCCTCACTGCGGGAGAAGCCTAGAGGAGTAAATCGCCGAGCAAACTGACGTGTAGATTGGTGCCGGATCTCACCATCCACCGAGGAAAAACACCGTCACCTCACAAGATAAAACAACCTTCCGGGATACAGCATTCACTACACTATCGGGATTAATGACCATAGCAATTAGCGTGCCAGGAAACATGAGTATTTCGCCTTTGAGTACTGCTCAGTCTAAGGTCGATCCGAAATCGCATCGCCTGCTTCTCCAATCCCATTTCACCAGCTTCTCCTATTATTCCTTCACGATCATATATAATTTCATCATTCTCATCCATGATAAAATATTCATATTAGACGTGGCCGGGAAGAAAAGTGTCTCTGGGAAAATATACAACACAAGTCGATAATTCGGGTGAAAAACATGAAAGCTGAAACGAAAATGCTTTCTTGATATTCTGATAGTTCGGTTCAAGGTTTCGATTTTTAAAAAAAAGGTATCGCACGGCGCAGTGGGAGAGAGATACATTAAAAGGTATCGTTAGAAGAACTAATCTTTAAAATATCCGTGACTCATTACATTAGTAGGTTTAACTGCCGCCTATACAATGAAAAAATCGTCAACATAATGAGTCGTGTCCTAAGGATTCACGTTGAGGTGAAAAGTCATCCAGAGAGTATCAATTACGTTTTGGGTTTAAAACTCCCCCAA